TAGAACCATAGTAGTGCACCCCCAAATAAATGATGAAAACCAAGCACTATATGGGGAGAAATGAATACAAACAGTAACAAATGAACCTAACTCTCTTACAATGAGTAATGAACCCCTGTGAAGGAGGCCAGGAGGGAAAGAACCAACTTAAGTCACTTTGGAGAACAGTATTTTGACAGGATACTGTTAAGTCTAAAGACAAAAAGAATTGGACAAAATACTCTCCTTTAAATAGTAAATTTGTTTCACACAGGGCTATGGGTTAGTAATACTGAAACTACTCTGTGTCAGGAAATACCTAGAGACAAAGGAAAATGAAAACAAATTTACACATCCTATGGGATGCTGCAAAAGCAGTTCTAAGAGGGAAGTTCATAGCGATACAGGTATTCCTCCAGAAACAAGAAAAATGTCAAATAAACAACCTAACCTACCACCTAAAAGAATTCGAAAAAGAAGAACAAACAAAACCCAGAGTCAGCAGAAGGAAGAAAATAGTAAATGTCAGAGAGGAAATAAAGAGAGATGAAAATAATATAAAAGATCAATAAAACTAAGAGCAGTTTTTTTTTTTTTTTAAAAGGTAAACAAAATTGACAAACCTCTAGCAAGGTTCACCAAGAAGAAAAGAGAGAGGACCCAAATAAAATAAGAAATGAAAGAGGAGAAATAACAATCAATCCCACAGAAATACAAAAAATCATACGCGAACACTATAAACAGCAAATTGGACAACGTAGAAGAAATGGACAAGTTTCTAGAAACATACAGCCCACCAATACTGAGTCAAGAAGAAACAGATAATTTGAACAGATTGATCACTAGAAGTGAAATAGAATCTGTTAAAAACAAAACAAAACAAACAAAAAACCCTCCAAAACTCCCTGCAAACACAATCCAGGACCTGATGGTTTCACTGAGGAATTCTACCAAACATACAAAGAAGAATTTATACCTGTCCTCCTAAAACTATTCCAAAAAATTGAAGAGGAGGGAACCACTCCCAAATCAATTCTTTGTGGCCACAGTTACCCTGATGCCAAAACCAGACAAAGACACTACAAAAAATAGAAAATTACAGGCCAATATCTTTGATGAATATAGAAGCAAAAATCCTCAACAAAATATTAGCAAACTGAATCCAACAACACGTAAAAAGGATCGTACACCATGATCAAGTTGGATTCATTCAGGTCACAAGGATGGTTCAGTATAAGCAAAATCAATGTGATACGTCACATTAACAAAAGAAAAGACTAAAACCACATGATCATTTCAATAGATGCAGAGAAAGCATTTGACAAAATTCGACATCCGTTCATGATAAAAACTCACCAAAGTGGGTATAGAGGGAACATATCTCAACATGATAAAGGCCATTTATGATATACCCACAAGCAACATAATACTCGATGAAAACATTCCCGCCAAATTCAGGAACAAGACAAGGATGCCCACTCTCACCACTTCTATTCAACATAGTATCGGAAGGCTTAGCGACAGCAGTCAGACAAGAAAAAGAAATGAAAGGTATCCAAGGGACTTCCCTGGTGGTACAGTGGTTAAGGATCCGCCTGCCAATGCAGGGGACACAGGTTTGAGCCCTGGTTCCGGAGGATCCCACATGCTGCAGAGTAACTAATCCCGTGTGCCACAACTTCTGAGCCTGTGCTCTAGAGCCCGCATGCCACAACTACTGAAGCCCATGAGCCTAGAGCCCATGCTCCACAGCAAGAGAAGCTGCCGCAATGAGAAGCCCACGCGCTGCAACAAAGAGTAGCCCCCGCTTGCCGCAGCTAGAGAAAGCCCGCGTGCAGCGACAGACCCAACACAGCCGAAGATAAATAAATTAATTAATTTTAAAGAAAGTATCCAAATTGGAAGGGAAGAGGTGAAACTGTCACTATTTGCAGATGACATGATACTCTTATGTTGAAAACCCTAAAGTCTCCACACAAAACTATTATAACTAATAAATGAATTCAGCAAGGTAGTAGAATACAATATTAATACACAGAAATCTATTGTGCTTCTTTACACTATTAGTGAAATATCAGAAAGAGAAAGTAAAGAAGCAAAATCCTGTTTAAAATTGCATAAAAAATACCGAGGAATAAACTTAACCACTGAGGTGAAAGACCTATATGATGAAAACTCTAAAACATTGATAAAGGAGGGACTTCCCTGGCGCTCCAGTGGTTAAGACTCCATGCTTCCAGTGCACAGGGCGTGGGTTTGACCCCTGGTCAGGGGACTAAGAACCCACATGCCACGTGGCAAAACCCAACAAAAACAACAACAAAAAAACACATTGATAAAGGAAGTTGAAGATGATTCAGAGAAATGGAAAGATATCCCATGGTCTTGGAATAGGAGAATTAAAATGGTTAAAATGGCCATACTACCCAAAGCAATCTACAGATTTAATGCAATCCTTATCAAAATACCCATGACATTTTCCACAGAACTAGAAAAAAATAATCCTAAAGTTTATATGGAACCACAAAAGTCCCAGAATTGCTGAAGCAATCCTGAGGAAAAAGAACAAAGGAGATATAACCCTTCCAGGCTTCAGACAGTACTACATAGCTACAGTAATCAAAAACAGCCTGGTGCTTGCACAAAAACAGACACACACAGATCAGTGGAACAGAATAGAGGGCCCAGAAATAACCCCGCACACATACGCTCAACTAATCTATGACAAAGGAGGCAAGAATACACAATGGAGAAAAGACAGTCTCTTCAGCAAGTGGTGCTGGGAAAACTGGACAGCTACATGTAAATCAATGAAATTAGAACATTTCCTCACATCATATGTAACAATAAACTCAAAATGGTTTAAAGACCTAAAATATAAAACATGACACCATAAAACTCCTAGAAGAGAACATAGGCAAAATATTGTTGAACAAAAATTGTAGCAATATTTTCTTAGATCATTCTCCCAAGGCAAAAGAAATAAAAGTAAAAATAAACAAATGGGACCTAATCAGACTTAACAAGCTTTTACACAGCAAAGGAAACCATCAACAAAATGAAAAGACAACTTATGGAATGGGAGAAGATATTTGCAAACAGTGCAACTGACAAGGGGTTAATATCCAAAATATACAAACACCTCATACAACGCACTATTGAAAAAACAAATAACCCAATCAAAAAAATGGGCACGAGACCTAGATAGACATTTTTCCCAAAGAAGACATACAGGTGGCCAACGGGAGCATGAAAAGATGCTCAACCCTGCTAATTATTAGAGAGATGCAATCAAAACCACGATGAGGTATCACCTCACGCCGGTCAGAATGGCCGTCATCAAAAATTCTACAAATAATAAAAGCTGGAGAGGGTGTGGAGAAAAGAGGACCCTTGTACACTGTTGGTTGGAATGTAAATTGGTGCAGCCATTATGGCAAACAGTATGGAGCTTCCTTAAGAAACTAAAAAAAGAGCTGTCATATGAGCCAGCAATCCCACTCCTGGGAAAAAGTGAAAACTATTTTGAAAAAGATGCATGCACCCCAATGTTCATGGCATCATTATTTACAATAGCCAAGACATGGAAGCAACCTAAATGTTCATCGACAGATGACTGGATAAAGAAGCTGTGGTATATTTATACAACGGACTATTACTCAGCCATAAAATAGAATGAAGTGATGCCATTTGCAGCAACATGGATGGACCTAGAGTATTATGCTTAGTGAAGTAAGTCAGACAGAGAAAGACAAATACTATATGATGTCCTTTGTATGTGGAATCTAAAAAGTAATACAAATAAATGTATGTACAAAACGGAATCACATAGAAAACAAACTTATGGTTACCAAAGGGGTGAGGGAGGGGAAATTAGGAGCTTGGGATTAAATACAAACTACTATACATGAAATACGTAAACAACAAGGATATACTGTATAGCACAGGGAATTATATTTAATATCTTGTCAAAAAAATTTCTCCGTGTGCACATTAGGACTGAAAACATAATGAAATACATGGTGGAGAAGGAGGCCAGGATTCTTGCTGTTGGAGAAAAAGACGCTACAAACAAGGAAAGGGGAGAGCTGCAAGGAACCTGGTGGTATTGGATTGTATCTGAGAAATCGGTGTGAATCTATGGTTTTTGATATACGGGTATGTAGACATGTAGACACAGAAATTAATACAGAGTATGCATATGCTTGGATTAGCATATATACATATTTTCTAGCTCTCGTTGCTCAAAGACAATGACACCTCAGTCACAATGAGCTCACCTGGCGCCCAAATCTTGGTGTTTAAGCACCATTCTCCAATGTAAGGAACCAAGGATCCTTGGAGAATTGGTTGATTCCAGGACTGTGGTAGGGAAATACAAGCTGAGCCTGAAACATCTTGTGGAACGAGAAAATAAGGAATTGCTTGAAAAAGAGAGGCGTTTGTTGAAAGTACACAGGAACCAACCTGCAGGAGTTCCCAATGGCCAAATCTAGGATAATCTGGGCAACTGAATAAATGGTGATTGAGTTGTGTTATAACCCTAGCATAAAAGAGGTATCCACAAGCTCATATAAAGTATTGAATAAATAAATAAATGGTGGAGGAGAGACAGTTCTTCCTTGCAGAAGAGTTCCAATTAAAATGTAAAAAGAAGGACTGAAATTCAAAATCACCACTAGGCACATGCCACCATGATTAATCATTGCCAGCAAGATGGATGCTCAATTCAGAGGGCAAAAGTTTGGAGAGCAACAGGAGAGTTGCACAGTTTTAAAGTACCTCCTCCAAGATATTTATTCATTACAAAGGGAAACTATACCTTTACAATGGAAACCCCCTAGCCTGGTGATCAAGGTCAGCCTCCCCTATAATCAGGCTTGTGGACACCACATACCCCCTGACCTGCCTGATGCACTAAGCAGGACCTGACATCATGGCTGTGGAGCTCCTGCCAACATGAGTAACCCATGAAACAATGTCTGACAAGCTCTCTTGGAGGGACAGTCTCCAGGGCTCACCCTTCCAAGGCGTCACGTCCACTACGGATGGGTGGACTGGGGACAGCCTCAGTGTGGAGGTGAGTGGGGACCTGGCAACCCGGGGGAGTGTGGGAGCCTGGCTTGGATCCTGGAACAGGAAGAGGACGTCAGTGGGACACTTATTAAACACGGGAGGTACCTGGCCTGGTGTGTGTTTATGGGAATGGACTGGCAGAGGCGGGGCAATTGATAAGGAGGAGAGAGGGGAGGGCCGCAGGAGGGAGTCCACGGGAAGGGGAGCCGGGTGGGACCAGTGGCTGCCTGTCCTGCCTTTGTGGGGTTGGTTGCATTTTGGGGAGGGGGTTAATTTACACACGGAAAGACGGAGAGCTCCGTGATGCTGCTGGGTGGGCACTGACAGACTTGCACACCATGCACCATCATTCAAACCAAGCTGAGGGCTTCCATCCCTGGAGACTTACCTTGGGCCTCTGACCCCAGTACCTCCCCAGGACCACGCTTGGACCAGGGCAAGTGGAACCCCGTGCCTCAGACGTAGGTTGATGGGTTCAGCAAATAAAAGTGGTTTGGGAACCCTCCAGGGGGCCCCACACCTTGAAGTGCCTTCCTCTGAATTTTCCAAGTAATTCTCATGCTTGGGGGTGACCGATCCCCATCTTTCCCTTTTGGGGCACTTCGTGATCCTCTATACTCTACCTCTTGGGATTGACCAGTGCATCCTTCGCTCATGGGCTGCAGCCCTATGTATGTGTGTGTGTATGTCTGTGTGTGTGTGTGTGTGTGTGTGTGTGTGTGTGTGTGTGTGTGTGTGTGTGC